CCCCGGATAACACTGAAAGTACGAGGGTGAACAACCTTTGATAAAATATAAACTAGCTCTGAAAGGGTTAAAATTTAAAAATGTATTAAGAAATGGCTAACCTATGTGTTTTTGACAAATTCATATACTTCTGAGAATCCTGGCTTCCTGGGCAAATCCAGCGGGTATTGGCACTCTTCAGTTGGAGATTTCAAACTCTGTTTTGTAAGATTTCCATTCAGATAAATTCAACAGACACAAAATATCAACATCGCTGCAGACCTTCTGAGGTGTGCCTACACCACTTATCTAGAGCCACAGCTGCACTCTGTAAGGTTATAGATCTTGTTTATAACCCACGATGTTGAAGAACCCTCATCTTTAATTTATGCGACGGTGTGTATTTCAGTATACAATGCCTGATATGTGTAATTATTCACTATTAGGATGAAAGTTGCAGTCCTGCTGCAGTATGTAGTACTGAAATTCTTCAGCAGAAATGGAGGAGTCGGATGATGTATTATTCACTTTATAGACCATCACAGTTCATCAAGTGAATATATATAAAGTCTGAGTCATTTTTAGACTTTCATAAACATGTATTATTCAGGCTGAAAAGAATGGACCCATCTTACCTTCAACACAGTCTCAGAGAATAATAAGAGCTTGTAACCTGTTGTAGCTGACTAATGCATGTATTGGATTACACCACATTAAAATGAATGATCAAATATTTCATTTGATTTCTTAATTAAAAATATCAACAGAAAAATATTGATCAGATACTGTGAACGGTCAAGCTCAACATGATTTACATGGCTGTCAAATTAAAAGAAGCACAAAAATTTTTGGCAGAAAAAAAGGGTCTGGTGATTCAAAATTACAACCAGAATTTTCTTCAATTTCTTTTGGACTCAAACTATCTATGCTAAATTTCATAGAATCATAGAATCATTTAGATTGGAAAAGACCTTTAAGACCATTGAGCCCAACCATTAACCTAGCACTGCCAAGTCCACCACTACACCATGTCCCCAAGCACGACATATTTCGTCTTTTAGATACCTCCAGGGATGGAGCCCTTCCCTGGACAGCCTGTTACAATGTTTGACAAACCTTTGGTGAAGAAATTTTTCCTAATATCCAATCTAAACCTCCCCTGGTGCAATTTGAGGCCATTTCCTCTTGTCCTATCCCTTGTTACTTGGGAGAAGAGACCAGCACCCACCTCACTACAACCCCACTTCAGGTAGTTGTAGAGAGTGACAAGGTCTTCCCCTCAGCCTCCTTTTCTCCAGGATAAACAACCCCAGTTCCCTCAGCCACTCCTCATAAGACTTGCTCTCTAGACCCTTCACCAGCTTCATTGCCCTTCTCTGGACCCGCTGCAGCACCTCAATGTCCTTCTTGTGGTGAGGGGCCCACAACTGCACACACTATTCAAGGTGCGGCCTCACCAGTGGATCATCACAGTGGATCATCACAGGGGGATGATCACTTCCCTAGTCCTGCTGGCCACACTATTGCTGATGCAGGCCAGGATGCCGTTGGCCTTCTTGGCCACCTGGGAACACTGCTGGCTCATGTTCAGCCGGCTGCCAACCAACACCCCCAGGTCCTTTTCTGCCAGGCAGCGTTCCAGCCACTCTTCCCCAAGCCTGTAGCATAGTTGCATAGCGTTGCAGGGGGTTGCTGTGCTCAGACTTTTTCAGCGAGAGCTATCTAGGAAGACCGTGGCATAATGTTTATAGTGAGAACTTATCACTTCAGTGATGATATTTTAATCATAAAGAAAAAGAAACAAAGGCACAGACAATGTAGCCATATGGCCCCCTTTTTTTTCCCCTCTTGCTAGTGGAGATGACAAGATGGATTTAAAGGGTGGATTACCTTGCTTAAAAAAAACAAAAGCACAAAGGGGAATCACTGACATTTAGAATCCCTGCAGCAAAAAACAATATTTACATGTTGTGGCACTTTAATTAAAATATTGGAAGAATTTTTCAACCTTTTCCTTCTCACTTCAAAACTAAAATAAAAAGCCCTAAACAGAACAGTGTCTCAAGGCTCACAGACACTGCTTCAATTTTATTATTCTTCTGAATGTCAGTGTTCATTTTGTTAACTATCTTACCACCAAATTTTAGGAAATATAAGGATTACCCTTACAAATACTCCAAAGTAAGTATTTTCTGCCCTACATGTCAGACATAAAAGCACTTATTCATATTTATGACTGATATGGACGCTACATCACTGAAGCAATCCAAGTTTCACATCCATGAGTCTAGGGAAGTAGTTTTTAAAGCCAGATAACCAAAATGGATATGTTAAAATTGAACCAGACTCACTCCAACCAGTTTAGCTGTACCCGTAGTACTGCAGGGGTGACTGGTGATTCCAGTGTCAAAGGCTGTGCCATATAACGTCTTTTTAAGCAAACAGACTTTGCTGTTTCCAATAATTTGTCTTGAAAAATACAAAAAAAAAAAAAAATATAGGGATCTAATTGTAGGTTTGATCTTCATTTTATCTTTTGTTGCTGTTGTGGTGGTTATGAGTATTTTTCTTGGATTGTACTGTTATCTATGAAGTTTTGATGAATGTTTTGAATTACAGTTTCTTTGGAGAAATTATAAAAATGCAGTTTCCGTTCTCTATTTTTTTTACCTATTAACTGTACTTACAAGCACTATGGCCTTTCTCTTTTTGCATCGTAGCTTTACTAGAGACCAGTGCCACTGCTTTTGTTCTAGGGGTTTCCTTAAAGTGTTCTTCCCAAAGTTGCACACGTGATCGACATTTCAGGTGCTGTATTTATGAATCTTTCTTTACATTACATTTAACACTATTTGTATAAGCCATTACCTGAATGCTTCTTTCTTAGAAGGGCTCCTCTAGGGACAAGACTTATTAGTGAAGTTATAACAGCATTTCCATAACCCTTCCTTTCACTGACTGAAGCTAATTTATAGAGCTATTTGCTCAGATCATTTGACACACACACACACAAAAAGGTTTGTTTGTTATCAAGAGGAACTAAATATTACAATAAGAACTCTAAAGATTTACCAGGAGGAAGATGGAGAGGGCATTAGATTTGTTTTTCTGTTTTTCTATCTGCAATTAAATAAGTTTTAGATTTAATGAGTTATTCTTAAGAGCAAAAGGAAAATACAGCTTTAAATAAAGTATAGTTGCAAAATAACACATTCAATTCTACTAATGACCACAGTTTATGATGTTTTTAAGTAGATGTAATTAGATATGGACAATTTATTTTTTTAAAGATAAATATTAGACAAGCGATCACAGTTTCTCGTTCTCTTCAAAATAGTGGAGAACAATAAAAAGGCATCACCAAGATGTCCTTCTTTACTACAGCTGCTGTAAAGGCGAGGGGATGGGGCAGAAGCAGGCCAGTGTACTAATCAATCACAGAAGGCCCACAAAATAAAAGCTTGTTTTCAAACAGCAGAGTCATCCTGGACTAGTTGTGTGAGGTACTGTGTGAGTTATTGTGAAGGTCTGCAGGGGCTGAAAGTCCACCTGCTTGGTCTGCTCCTCGTAAAGTGGGCTTTGCAGCTTGAGCCAAGCTCCCAGTGTCTCTGTAACTACACAGCCAGCAATACCCAAACTTGCTCAGACACACCTGCGTGAGCTGCAGCAGTGGCCACGTGCCTGTGGGCATCCCAGATGTTATTTCTTTCTTATACATAAACCAAATCCAGCTAAGGAGTACCCATATCTTTGTATCTCCTTTCATTTCCTTAGAAAAGACAACTTCCAAGTTAGGTCCTTTGATTTGAGAAGGGGAAAGCCCTTGGTTTCCAAGTGCTAACATTCCAGAAGCACCTATGGATTTCCTTAAGCAGGTGAGGGAGGGAGTTAGAGAGGACAGTCAGTGCACATCTCGCTGCTCTGCTGCCCCTGTGTGACAGCCTCTCCTCCTGCCCCACCACTCTCAGACATTGCTGAATGGAACACACATTACCAAGTACCATCAAAACCACCAAGCCACTTCCCATGTTCACATGACTATAAGGTTAACCGAGTTACAGTTCATTCAGTAGTCGGCAGAAAGGAGTATTTCAGCACTGTGACAAAAGAAAAATCAGAAGAACAAATATGAATTTCATCTAGCGCTTAGCTGAGCTGAAACAGGATAAACAAGAATAAACGATTTTTAATGAGGATATTGTACCTAATGTAACCGGATCTGGATTCACTGGGCTCTGCTGTCTGGAATGACTACTGCTGCTGTTACCGCCTTTTTTTAAATCTTCCGCATCACTGTACCGCCGTATCCAGTAATTCAGCTCCTCACGGTCTGCTTCTTGACATCGCCGTAGTACAGTGAGAGATCGCCTAGTTTTTTCCACCATGTCCATTATGCAGTTTAACAGCTATTCACAGTGATGGAGAAGAGAAAGAAAAAAGAACATTTTATTCATACGCTGACAGAAAAACAAAGAAAACATTAATATGCAGAGTGCCTGGGATTTAAGAATGAAGACATTTCTGCCTGTTATTTGAAATACAGATGAAAAATTCTGGCTTTGCTTTTAAGAATGACAATCCCTTCCTGTTTAACTGGTGATCCTAAACTGTACAAATATGGATTTCTGGGGGAAAGGAAAAAGACAAGGAGAGAAAGACTGAACAGACCGCAGTCCCACCATTAGTATCACACGGCACCAGACGCCAGGAGACCTGGTCCAGAACTGATGCCTACAAATGTTGTAAGAGCTAATAAATTCAAAGAACAAATCCAATTAACCACCACTAAGGGTGAGGGTCACGTGTTCCAGATACAGGGTTTATGGAGCAGTGTCCACTCCCCTTTTGGCAGCCTGTAATAATCAGGATACTGCAATAGGCATTTGAACAGCACAGCCTAACATGAGCTACCTAATGAGGAACATCAAGCCCCTAGATCTAATCACCGCTGTTTTCAAAACTTGTCCAGGGATTCAGATTTGTTTCAAAAGTTTAAATTCCTATCTTAGAAGGGCTCCTTTCAGACAATTATACATGAGTACATTTAACCCTTACATGGTCAAGGTGTTTCCACTCTTCTGCCCATTCTCTGTCTGTTAGCCTGTGATCAATCATTTCTTCTTGACGTGTGCCATGCAACCCTGCCAAAAAGGAGAAAATCATATTTATAATGTTAGGAGTCCTTGGGGGGGGAAGGGAAGAAAAAAGAACCTGTCAGGCAAATATAGGATAAATCACCTGGTCTAGTATCAGGAAAAAAAAAATAAATGGACGCTTAAGAACTTTGCTCTAAGTTCTCTTTAGCACTTTTCCCCACAGAAGATGCTACTGATTTACTCACTTTAATGTCTTCAGTTCTGCAAGTGCTGTAGGTTGCAAGATGAACTCTCAAGAATGGACATAACTCTTTCTGATTATATACAATTCCAACATATAATATATAATACAATATATAATTCTTCATTTGCACTACTTGGAGAAGTCAGCAAGACAATTATTTGGTAACTCATTGTATCAAATACTAGCTGTACTTCAGAGAGTGAAAATATATTAATGTAAACTCAACATTATTTCACCAAATGCAGTAATTACTACCATGTCAACGGAGCATCATTAAGGGTTCATCCCTTCACAGATGTTTAAACAACATGTGGTTAAAATGCGGCACATGTATCAGAGCAGCTGACAACACGATACAACCAAGCCAGTATTTATTATCAACACTCAAGAGGAACCCACACTTGCTCTTTGTTTACAATCCTCTGTACAGATGCTGAATAGTTGTAAATGCTCCTCTTCTATTGAAGATTTGTTTAAACCAAGGAAAAATAGTAAATGCAGATGTGAAGCAAGCCAGGCAAATCCAAGAGCATCAGACATTCCAATAAACCAAAACGTGCTGCAAGGGCAGCCCTGTGCGGGGTGTGGTTGGTGCTGCTGCTATTCGCATCCTCTGCAGACATCCCCACGCTGCACCGCGCTCTTGAGATGTCACACACTGAACGCTTCTCCAAAAGCTAATAACCTTCCTCTAGTCTAAGGTGAAATCAAGCTATATCAGTGTTGCTATCATCACAAATATGGCATTAAAAGAAAAATAAAAGGCTCTACCTATCCTTGCCTGACGGACACCTGAGTGTCCATGTCATCTATGCAGCTGTGAAAGGACAGGCTCCTCCTTCTGACTCTCTTGCTTTAGAGTGTAGCAAAGACACAATTCAATCCACTTTTTCAAATAAAAATCTGAAATAGGGCCATTAGAAGCAGCTAGATGGACAAACAGCTACAAAGGCTACATCTGAATGGCACATATATTAAATCAGGGGAAAAAACACTTCACAATAGAGAACATAATTACAAAGAAAAGATAAATCTGAAAAAAAACAGAAAATCAACATGCCTTACCCATAGGTCTGTTTCTGTCCCTGAGGTCCCTGTGGTTGGGGTGTCTGTATGAGTCCCTGTAGTGGTGGGCAATGGCCATATCATCCAAACGATAATGCTGAGGTGGAGGTGGGGTGGGATGAGGCAGACCATTGGGCTGATAAGATAAGCCATTATTTGGACTGTACCGCTGGCCTGGGCTAATAGTGCAGGGCCGCTTGCTTGGATGCTCTGAGTGCAAAGGCTCTCTGTCAAAGCCATTTTCTTTGGTTCTGAAAAACAAAGCAAAGGAACTTTAATCCGCTTAGTGAGCAGAGCAGCTCAGGAACAGGCACCTCCACCTACACGTGCTGCTGTAGGAACTAAAGCTTGTTCTTTCACTTTGCTCCAAGTGTGTGGCATTGCAGAACGTTTCACAACACTGCTTATTCAAAATATACAAAAGACACATTCACCTTGTCTAACTCTTCCTGCAACCTGAGAAGTACTACCAGTGTAAGCCTTCCGATGGATCAGCTTAAAGAGTTGGGGTGGAGGTGGAGCAGCATTCACTGCAATCTCTGGTGGAGGGGATGGATACCCATGTAATTGCAGAGCTGGAAACAATCAGCTGATACATGAAGCCAGAGGCTGAGAAATTCCTGCTTTCAGTAGTGCTATAGCATATAGCAATTAGGGGAAACCTGCAGTTAAAGAAATGTGGTTTTTTCAAGAGCATGGCATACAGTCTTAAGGTAGTGCATGTCTGTGCTGAAGGTCAGCTGTACGTAATGCCAGGATGAGTGCCCGTCAAGATCAGTGTCACACTGAGACTTTGGGCAAGAATGACTCTAAATGATGAGAAATGCTTCCTTCAGAGATTTTTGTACCATCTGGGCTACTTCAGTCAAAGCTGCTGTGCCTGTCATTAATTTTGCAGGAATATGTGGTTACACTGAGGACCTCAATAACGTTCAAGATTTCCCACTCCATTACTCCTAGACAGGGGTTTGATGCTCAGGCAACTCTGAAGAGCTATCAGGGAGAAGGGCAGGTTTTTATGTCATAGATATTAATTAATTCAATTAATAATCAGTTATTTCCAAATAACTCTCTATTTTGCACCTTTGCCTGAGAACCTGTAACTCACACTGAACTAATTTTCCATTAAAATAAAAAACGAAAGGCTAGAGTTACTTCAATGGGTTCACAACTTCTTTAGGAAAGCTCTGTTTCATTGAAGTAGCAGGTTTTGTACCACAGGAATAAACAAAACCTACAGGAAATTAGCTCTGAATTGAAAGGTTGCTAGATATGAATATCACAACTCCTGAGGTTGCATCCCTCCCTTCAAACAGCTAAGACATTCTAGCCTTTTTTAAAGAGAACATTCTCCTCCATAATATATGGATAGCATAATACATCTTCCTTGTAAAAACATAGTTTTTTGTCATTTTGACAGGAATGTGAATTTGATTTAATTTTCTTGTTTGCTGGCTGTTAACTGCCCTTCAACATACCCTCCCCTACAAACCAACCAACCTCTAGGGACTCTGTGGAGAAACACTCAGTGTATTAACTGTTGCCCCTCAATAGGTTCTCCTTTCATGTCAATGAGAGGAAGGATGAAACCAAACTTTTGCCAATATCCACTGGGAGAGAGGATCGAAGTAAGATCTTGCAATTACCAGCAGGAAATTAAAAAATGGGTTGCAGTGTTTTCAGAAGGAGTAAAGAGATTTTCCAGGGACCTCACCACAATCATTAATGCCAGAGAAGTTGCAGGTGTGTATTTCTGTTAGTATACCTTAACTTGGCAAAGAAGGGAGAATCTTTCACCAATACAGCAGGACAGCTGTTCTAATTTTGAGCAGAGATATAAAAGACATACTTTGTTAAAGTGGAGTATGTACCTTCTTCCAAAGCAAACACAGAATGGCTGTGAAAACTCCTGATCAGGAAAACCTGAGGACCATCGTATATTTTTTATGACTTTTGGCACAATGGAAGTGCTTACAATAACTCCCAACGGGTGGTGATGTTTTTGACAGCTGTCCAAGACAAGTTTTGTATTTAGTTTCTGGTGTATGTTCTCTTTGCACATATCTACTCAAACTCAACGTCCAGGTCCTTCAATTGTAAAAATACTATGCAAGAAAAAAAAAAAAAAGGACTTCCCTGTATGTATATGCTATGCTATTAATTTGCCAAAATTTTTCAGTGTTATAGTGTAGAATAATCTCTAAGATGGGGAAAAAATCATAAACTGTAAATAATTAAATAACTTAATTGAATTTTTTTTTTAATCACTCAGTGTAAGGAAAACACACCAGAAAACTGACAAGTAAGAATCCAGTTTTTCTTTCCCGCACTATAATCAGATGTTAAAATTACATCTTTACATGCAAGTGTACTTACTTGTACCTTACTGCACAGGTACTTCTGTGTTTTTTTGGGCAAGCTTTGTACTTTATTGCCATAACTGGAATGCTCTGCATTAGCCTGGACAACACACCAGCATATCCACTTTCTTCTAGAACCTTAAGTTTGACTAACACAGAAATTAACATTACCATTGAAAACATATTTACTAAAATTAAATTCTTATTTTTGCTGTTATGCTGGGTAATGGCTGTTGGGTCTTTTCTGACTGTTAAAACTTCAATTCTACAGTTTGTTGCTGTATTTTCTGCACTGACCAAATAAACAACTTAGAATGCCAGAATGAGACTGTACGTAAACTCATCTTGTGTTTCTGAACATTTAAAGTACATAAAAAGGTAAAAACTTTTGAAGTCTCATCAGAACAGGAATCACTGGCAAATTTACTATATCTGAATATACTGAACATAATGATAAAAGACAAAGTACTGAAGAGTGCTAGAACTAGATGCCCTGAACTCAACCTACTATTTATTCTCCTTCTGATCTCAGTCCTACTCATTCTTCCAGGTCTCACCCCCTTGGGACAGCAGCATTTCCCCAAGGGCCAGAGGCAGCACTCCTGTTTCACAGTAATTGGCAGACCCCTGTGAGTACTAGATCCAAATCCAAAACGGCCACAATATTCGTCTGATTTCATCTGATTTTCATCTGATCCACCTAATTTTGCAAAGCAACAACAAGCTGTAGAGAGGAAATAAAACTGAATGTGTAGGAAGTCGAACTGACATATTTTCTTGTTTTTCTTTTCTTGCTCCTGTTGGTCACATTTTCCTTGCTGTGCACAGAAATTGATACTCATTTGGAAAACTGGCAATATGGAAAAGATGGGGTCCTTCAGCTACAAACATGAAATAGGTCATTCTACTTGGAGCTATGATGTACTCAGTTTAAAGGTAGCAGAATAGATGCTAGTCAACAGTCTGTACCCATTTAACAGAATTTATGTTGTTATCATTTCAGTTTTGAATTATTGCAATCTATGGATAGTTTTCTGGGTAGGAAATGTGACTCCGCAAAACTGCCTTGGCTGGAAAATTAAGTTTCACCTGATAAGAGTATAACACCAATTTCAAAGAACACTGAAGTCAGCTCGCAAGAAGCTGTTCATCTGCTATTTGTGCAAGATGCTTTGATTTAAATTGGACTTCCACCAACAAAGCCTTGATGACCAAGCAAGTGAAAATGCTTTGCTGGAATAAAATACTTATTTTGTTTATAATACTGCGTTACATAGAAGATTAATATTGCCTTGCTAATAGTTCATATTAAGAAAATTCTTTTAAATTCCTCATGATTACATACAGCTTACAAGGAGCATAGCTGTAAGCATCCTTCACCTTCCTGAGACCTGGAGGAGCTTCTTCAAATAGGAAGATTTACCTAACAGAACTATCAAAGTTGGTCTCTGTGCCCTGCCTGACATGAATTCCTTGTCAGGAGTGCCAAGGGTACAGCATGCACAGCAGCACCTTGGTAAGTCACAAAACAGTCATAGCCACTATTGTTTTCTTCTCACTTAAAATTAGAGCTATTCTAACAGGTTTTTTTGCTATCCTATATCCACTTGATAGGCAGCTGTCATAAATGTAGAGTCACTCTATGACACATTCATGTGCCATACAGCCCTTCCCAGCAAGCTCAAAGGATAAGTAATTAGCAAGAAGTCTTTTGTGGTTAATGTATTTTAAATCATGTTATTTATAACTAAGCATTCATTCACCAAAATAAAAGCTCACATTGGTCCAAGATCCTTTGCTTTACTACAGTAGAATGTAAACTCCAAAAGTTGTAAACAAAATATAGTGAACACTTTGTTCATGACGTGTCATGAACAAATTACCAAAATGTGTTGTCTCCTCAGGTGTCAGTTTTTCTCTCTTGCAGTGACTGATGGTTCCCAGTGTTATTACAGAAACAGATTGATCTTTTTAATGAGCTAGTTTAATAGACTCCAAAATCTCACCGTGGCTGCTCATCCGTGTCAGACCATATGCACCAAGAAAACATTCACTAAAACACAAAGCTCTGCTGTCAGATTGCTCTATAAAACCTCACATACAGTAGGCTTGGATATGCAGATAAATAACCAGAATTGGAAAATGCATATGCAAAAAAGGTTCTGAAATTATCAGCAGAAAAAAATTACTGTATGGCGATTTTCTTTAACAAAAGATCACGAGGTGAATGTGGTTATGTGCAACACACATGTTCCACTTCCTTTGCCTAAGCCCTTACTGTATTTTCCCTCTATGGGAATCAATGGTATGTTGCTACCCATGGCCAAAAGAAAAATGTAAATATGGAAGAATGTATATATATTTTTCTAATATATATGTCTATGTATCATATACACACACATGCATCTATATATGAGATACATTACATAAACACCATATACAATGTATGTGTGTATGTGTATATTTATATAAACTCAAATCCCTTGGGAGGTGAAAAAGATACCACAATTTACTACAGTGAGAGACATCTCCAAACAAAATTATTCCAACTGCTTTTAGTTCCCCTGGAAAGACGTTGCCTTTTAGTCATTTTTTTACGTATTCTAGCAAGAGTCACAGCAAACCCTCCTCTTAAAGGATGCTTCATACCTTCCACTGTGCTTTTATTAGTATATTTGAAAACTACTTAGATATCTAAACAAAAAGAAGATATATTTAGAGATGCTTCCTCCTGCTCCTCTGTAAACAATTAAAATAATTAATAGTGTAATGGGTATAAAGCCAGACAAGTATTTGGTTTCAATACTCACTCTGTCTAGGCATGCTCTGGCTCTGAGGACAGTTTTTTGTGGTTTATTTACTTACATTATCCAAATTACAAGGTATGCAAACTCCCATTCAGTAGATTTAAGAATCTTTCTAACAGCATCTTGTTCCTTTTACTAAATCTGTAGTACAAATGTTTTTGAGTGCACAAGACAACTCCACTGAACTTGGTTCAGTCAGAACTACAGTATGAGTCTATTTTCCTCAGCATAGCTTTAATCATAGTCAGTGGAGAAGTAGGTATGGCTAACCAGTGACAGGGTTGTTTGATACAGCAAAAAAAACCTTTTTGTTTTAAGCTCAAGGCACCATTCCAATGGGCGAGATGAGCACTCTCTTTACAGGTCTTTCATGACAGCAAAGAATCTCACTGTCAAAAAAAAAAAAGTTGTGAAGGCAAAGACTAATATGGGGTGTTTTCATTACTAAGTTCTTGTACCAGTCTTTACCTGCACCACCCATCCCCTCCTACGCAACCAGAACTGAAGGTAACATAGGTAAGACAGTATTTATTACAAAATAACTGAAATCCAACACTGTCAAAGTGGGTCTCAAAGGGGGAGAGCATTGTTCCAGCATACTAAGGAAGAAAAACAAAAGAAATATTTTATTGCCCTTTTTCCTTTGTGGCTTTATGGGAGAAGCAAGTAATATTGCTCCCTATTAACAGAAAAAGAAGTAAGCTAGGGCTGTCAGGAAGGCACATCCCTCTTCTCCTCTGTATTCTCTGCCAAGCAAGACCTCACAGGCTTATAATGAGATAATTTAACGTGTGTCCATCTATTTGCAGGAAAACCACCATGTCTGCTACTGACAATGGACTACAGCATGCTGATATGTAAGTTATTAAACAAGACACACAAGATGTTAAGAGGCCTTTTTAATAGACGTTTTGGTACACCGCTCTGCAAGGACCGAGGACACATAGCAGAACCACCCCAGGGAGCTATATTTCAGCTTTGGAATCATTTCTCTTTGCACAGAGTAATAGACTACGTAGAAAATGTATGAAAATTAATCATCTTTCTTGGATGCAGTTAGTAAGTTTGTGTTAACACTCATGGCTGTTTCAGTTTGGTCTGGTTGTCAGGATAAAAAGGTGAAAAGAGAGTATATGGACAAGGGCTTCTCTGCTGGTATCTTTATTTTCTTTCTGGTCCATAGGGATTTCCCTGAAACACAATCTACAGCAAAATACTTTCACACTTTCGCCTATCCAGTGACTTTAGTTTTCACTGCTCACTTCTGGCTCTGAGTAGCTTAAAGTTCTACTATGCAGGCTTTTTCAAGATCTTGCATCTACATCATCTACATCATTAATGTCTCACTTTCATAATACGCTCAAATATTTGGTGTTGAATTTTCATCTACCATCCTCAGGAACTTTCAGACTTTGTTTTCTCCATAGGCTTTGTGCTATCACAGACTGTCCCTACACAAAAACGTCACCTGTCTACAAACTTGCAAGCCTTCTTGACTTTGCAAATCTTCATCCTTTTAATTTAAAAGATAACTAGGACACTTGCAGTGTCTTGTGCATGCAGGTAGGGGCATTTGTCAGAACAGCATTATGAAAGTTTTCCATACTACAAAATCCATGACAAACAAAACTAAGAAAAATCCAATATTTGGGCCTCCCAAAAGTAACATTTATACTCTGGCCAAATTTCTAACACTATCATAGGGAGACCGTTAAAAATAAATAACCACGAGTCATTTTCTTGTAATGCTAAACAAAGAACTTTATTCCAGTAAGAAAAAGAGAAAATTGTTCCATATCCCTAAAGCTACTGTACACTGCACACTCACTTGCCCTATTTCTTCATGAACTCCTTCTCAGCTCAACAAAAAAACAGATTTCAGTGAACGTTTCTCCTGTTTGGAAGAAATATCCTTATGGATATTGGAGATATGGATATGGAAAGTTGGAGTCAAAGCCCTGACTGCACTCTGGAGCTTGCCCTGCACTTCCCATATGAGTGGCTAGCCACTTTCCCCACATTTACAGTTTAATCCAACAAAACCTCAAACACAAAGGACTTGCATATTGGCCTGGAGTGATGTGCTGATAATCATTTTATGCTCCTCAGAAATACTATACACCAAATAGCTAGCATGGTACTGGCTGGCCAGTACTGTTTCTATGTAGGTATGAGCATGGGGTGTCCTCAGGCAGCCTGAGTCAGTGTGTGTGCATGTATATCACAGAATCATAGAATTGCCTGGGCTGGAAAGGACCTCAAAGATCATCAAGTTCCACCCCCCCTGCCATGGGCAGGGACACCCTCCACTAGCCCAGGTTGCTCAAAGCCTCATCCAGCCTGGCCTTGAACCCCTCCAGGGATGGGGCATCCACAGCTTCTCTGGGCAACCTGTTCCAGTGCCTCACCACCCTCACAGTGAAAAATTTCTTCCTATGTACACATATATATGTATACACACAGGCACACACATACACATATGTACACATACATGCATACACACATCCACAAAGCTAATCTGGCTGGTGCATAGCTGTAATGAGGACAGGACCCGCACCCAGGGAACACCACCCATGCTCCCCCAGGCACCCACCCACACACTCCCCACTCGCTAGCGGAGCTCGGCAGGTTCGACCCATGGGATATATCTGAGGGGGGTGTGAAAGGCACAGCAGTGCTCACCTGTCTGGAGTTCGCCTCTTCCCGTTTTCGTTCACATCGAGAAGCAGCTCTGAGGAGTCAACAGGTGAGGTGGTGCTGGCATCCAGAAGCAGCTGTTCGTGCTGGGCGAGGTACTGGGCTGGGTTCTGCTTGGCTAGCCTTGCACAGTGCAGCAGCTCCCGCTGCAGCAGGGGCAGATTGGCCTGCAAGAGCAGTGCACACGTTAAGAGGGCGGCTCGCAGGCAGTTTCAACAGAGATGAAGCAGAAAATCAGAAATCAATTAGGGAAGCCTGCTCTGAGATGAACCTGTTGCAAGCATCCTCAACTAGGTTTGTTGTGGTTAGCTGCCTGAAAGCAGGCAGCCTCCTTACAGGGTCAGGTCACTGTTGTGGTAAGTACACACGGAAGGATGAGACTTCACTGAAAATGGAAAAGAAAACTGTAAATAGTCCTGAGAAAACCACACCTTTAAAAAGAGAAAAAGCGCTGCCCCGGCTGACTTCATCCTCTTTCTTACTATCCAAAACTTGAGCTCCTATGGAGCAGCAGTTTTCAACAAGTGACAAACCTTCTTCAATATTTGTTCCCCATTCAGACTGTAGCTAGTACTTAGAAACTGTTGGAAACCATAGGATCTGCAGCACCATACGTTGCCTCAGTCATCGTCCTTCAAGGGCCTTGGGGAGAACAGGATTGCCCTCAGCTTTCTCACTACACTTGCAGTTACACATTAAGATAAAGAACACAACAAAATCTTGGGTTCCAGAGCTTCAGTTAATCACCTGGAGAGCTACGACCCTCCTCCTAGCCAGATGTACCTTGAAGTATTCTAAACTTTCCTCTCAGGTGTCCACTGGGACTTGGGTCACAGGCTGGAGAGTATCAGGACTCGGACACAGAGAACTGAAAATGCTCATTGATCCCTGGGTGGCACATTTTGCCCATCTCCTGGGGTCATACTTCGTTGTATCACTTGCCAGATTTGAGAGCAAAGTGGAACTGTATGTCCTTCCCCTCCATGGAGACAGTAACACATCCTGGGAAACATCTTCCTCTCTTTGCAGCACCTCAGCAGTCCAGTCATTTCTAACCTACATATTTGTGCCATAAGGTGATGTGCCCTGACCTCTCTTCTCTGTGCCTAGCACACAATGACCTGTTGCCTGGGGATTTTTAAGCATTGGGTTAAATTTCATTACCTTTACTAACTAGAGGTGTAACAAAGAACTCCAATGGTTCCCTTTGCTTTTGAAATAACTCCCATAGAAAAAAATAAATATTTTTTTTTTAAATCCCCCCCTGTTTTTTTGTAAACAGGAAAATAATTCTGAAGTCAAAGTTCTGCATCTAATGTGCAGGGAACCAAACACAAAAAAGCAGATTTTCTGGAAAGTTTTGAGCACAGTTTGGTAACTCACATTGCTTGCATTATAACAATGGCAAATGCGCCAGCACCTGTTGCTGTACAGTAGAAGCAGATCCAAAAAAATGCCAGAATAGGGTCAGTACATATTAACCTTTCAACACCGAAAAAACCCCACCAATTGCTATCACTTATCCATCTTAGAATGGGAAGACAGTCAGTTGTGGAAAAATGGAGCTTTTTTCAAACCTCCACAGAACACAAATACTTTGTGGCAGTACCAAAGAAATATCGTCTTTTGGTTATTCTCTGTCACACTTTTGTCCAGGGCTACCACCTAACAGAGAGAGAGATTGAATGGTCTTGCAAGCGGGATTTTTCACTTGTTTTAATTTCATTGTTATTTTTTAAGAGCTCACACAGAATCAAAGTCAAGACGCTCAACTACCTGAACTGCATCACGTGGCAGGAAATGATTGGAGAAGTTTATATATGCTTACAAATAAATATCTGGAGGAAATAATAGCATCAGACCTAGGATTTTAATAGTGGTGCATACTTGCAAGATGTATCATCACACCTCAGCATGCCTGTGAGGTAGAAATGTGAAGTCCCCACATTGCAGTTGAGAAATCAAGGGAAAAACAACACATTTGTGTTCCTTAGTCACTGTCACAAACAAAAGGGACCTATTTCATACATGGGCACTCCTGCCAACCAAATTTTGAAAAAACCCCCTTGGTTTATTTTACTTGTTTTCCTTCTAAATAAATGTTCATTCTTGCTATTTAACCATAAATGCTAAGATTTACAGTTAGAGGTATCCTTTATTCTAAATGGATTGAACATGTTTTCTATGCACAGAACAGATGTACAAATTTTGATATATTTAGTAAACATGGATCTACTCAGTTTCATAAATTTTTAGAAGTTATTACAGAAAACTATGAATGACATGCCTCTTAATTTGGGTTTATAATGGCATCAAGCAACATTTGTTCAAAGTGAAGAAAAGCAGTATTCGAAAACTTTTAGTTCAACGCAAGTACGTTCAATCTGCTCAAGATGTTATTCTAAACAACCTTTACCAAACCATATAGTCAAAAATAATTGGCTTATTGGAAGAAAAAGAATCAGGACCTCTCTTTGGCTAGGTCAAGTGTACAATCATTTCTGGTCATTACGGCCCCGATAACACAACAAGATCTAGTTTTTGGGAAGCCAGATGCAGAATGAAGCACCGACATTCTTCGTACTGTGAGCAGGGAGAGGACCCCTCTCCTAAGGAGGAAGGAGCGGCAGAGAGACAACATGGACTGACTGCAACCCCCATTCCCTGCCCCCTGAACCACCAGGGAGGGAGAACGCAGAGAAACCAGGAACAAAGCCTTTGGGTCTGGGAAGAAGGGAGGGGTGGGAGAGAAGTGCCTTTCTAAGATGTAGTTCTTTTTCTCATTATCTTGCTTTGGTTTTGATTGTAAATATTGTTAACAAATGAATTTTTTAATTTTATTTTTGTTTTCCCAAGTCATGGCAGTTTCTTGCCCATGACCATAGGCGGTGAGTGAACCCTCCTAGTCCTTGCCTCAGCCCAAGAGGTTTTTAGCAAGAGGCTGTGTGGTGGCTTTTAAAACCACAACAGATACAAAGGCTTATGCAGAGGTTCGCTAGCTGACAGCAGAGGCACTTCTGTCAACGTGCAGTAGTCCATTTGTCCCAGGATCACTGCTGCTGCCTGCAGACAGACTTTCATACCTCTGCATGTGACATACAAACCAGTTCTCAACCAGAAGCCAGATATATATGTTAGAAAAACACTGACTGCAAACAAATGTGATATTACTGGCTTAAAATCCCCTAAAATGTTGCACTTCAGCATCTGGAATATGGTCCTACTCTTGTTTTGGATTGGATCTCATATCCT